CATTCCTGAGATATCACATTTACTGGAATGGGATTGACAGACAATCTTTTCTGAGCAGTGGGTGGCCTCTCATATCACTTAGAAATAAACTAATTTTGAGGTTTTTAATCATCCTGAATCCACCAGGGTAGGTTGATGTTTACCAATGATTCACCCGTGAGTCCTGTTAAGAAGCGAGTTCTTTGCAGATAGTGATTCACCAGAGCCTTTTAGATGTTACTGCAACAGTAGGTGGTTGTTATTGTAGTACATTTAGTCTTGTTCAAAGCATGGAGCCAGACTTCATAGTCTAGGCTGTCTTTTTTTTTGTGTGCGTCTCAGGGAATGGAAGCCCCTAAAGGGGAGTTCATCAGGTGATAAAAATCTGTTTTTCAGAGGTCAAATATCAAGACTCAATGTTAGTGAGATGGACAAACCCACGGGTCTTGCTATACATTTTTATTGATTAAGTGCCAAGAACTACAGTTTTGATACTGCACTGATCTGTTGCTAACCCCTTACCAAACCCTACCTTTGGTTGGCATAATGGTCAGAGACACTGTCCTGTACATTCAGACATAGTGACCCACAACTAAAATCTTAGTTAATGTGCCTTTTAAAGTCTTGGTTCACCCAGTTTATGTAGATACATTTGTGCTGATTAGCTGATAATGATCAGTGACATGTTGTTCTTCAGGATCCTTCTGTCACACAAGTGACCAACTCTGCCACTGAACCAGTTGACCAGTACAGCCCTTTCGGTGCCCATTCCACAGTAAGACATCTGAAATGTGTCCCTTTGTTCTTCATGGTCATTTTTAGTTAGGCTTTTTTCTTCTTCTCTTCCTTCAACCTTTTTAAATCTCTTCTTTCTCCCCTTTCACCTTTCCATTATTGGTTTTTCTTGCCTTTTGTCTTATTTGCCACTTCTTGCTCTTCATGCTTTGGTCTTGTTCTCCTTTTCCTTGATAGTCTTCTTCCTGTCCTCCTGTATCCTCTTACTCTCTGTTTTCATTTCTTCCTTCATTTTCCTGTATGTTTTCTGGTCTTTTCTTGGCCTTATTGTGTCATTATTGTGTCCTTGTACTTTTCTTCACAACTACTGTTATTTGTCTGCTTATAATTTTTTCAGGAAGGCCTAGCTACAGGTACCACCCCAGCCTCCACCTCCCCCTACCAGCCTGCTGTATTACAGCCATCTACAGAGCCCAGTCCACAGGTGAGTCCCACATCATTGGATACTACATACTCTGTCTCTGCCAAACCCTGCACTTAATCTGCTGCAGCTGAAAAATACTACGCTGAAGTAGAGTGGGGGTACTACTTACTTGGATTTGGTGTTATATTTGCAGGTCTGTTACTGTTCACACAGCCATTAGTTGTTGTATCTTTCAGTTTCCCCACAAAATAACCAGTACAAAAACCACATGATGAACCAACAAGTACATATAAAGACCAAAGAATTATACAAGGTACCAAAACAAACAAAAAATTAGCAAAAAGTTAAGTAAATTATTCAAAATAGAGGGAAAAATAACAAAAATACAGCCATGCACAGAACCTACTCTTGACTCCTCTACTGGTTTTAGTTTCTTTGTTTCAGTATTTGGATTTCTTTTCACAGAATTAAGCATCATAATACATAACACTTTTACTTTTAGTCAATTGTTAGCTTATTTTAAACCTCTGCATGGAATATGTCTCATACCTGGATGTGTCTACAGAGCTGTCTGCCCCTTCAGCCTCCTAGTACCCTCTCCTCAGCCAGCAAGTGTTACCTGAGGATGTTTGGAGGCTGCACACACAGTTTACACAATATTATAATGAGCTTGCTACAAGCACTACAGGTCTGTTTTTCTGCCATTCAGACATCAGACATGATGATCATGAATATGTATTTTTTGTGACTGAACAAATCAGACTTAGGCATGCATGTAAAGTTACAACATGCAGGTATGGTCTTTTAAATAGTGAAAAACATTCGTAATGATCAGATGCTTGCTGACATCCACATGTACCCTTGATACTAGAGCACAGGGACTCAACCCTGTGTTAAAGATGTAAATGAATAATAAATAATGCTGGTTTAAATGTTTTCTGTCTATCATTATGCATCACTGTCTTTCAGTGTGAGTATAGTCTTGTTGTCTCTGCACCACATCTGTCGGTATGTAATGTGAAGCCACTGAAAGCTAATGTCACAAAGATAATCCTTGTACATTCAGTGTGTGTTTGTGACACTCCCTATTCAGGCGACTGCTGCTGTGGCTCAGGCCAACCTGCTGAGGCAGCAGGAGGAGCTGGAGAGAAAAGCTGCTGAGCTGGACCGCAGAGAGCAGGAGCTTCAGAGCAGAGGCGCAACAGGTCGGTAAAGACCAGACCTCTCCTCTCTGCAGTGGTGTCAGAAGAAGCACAGCAAACTGAGACAGGAAAACAATTCACAATATGTACATTATGGCTGTCACTTTTTATTCAAATTTCGAACATTTGTTCAAACGTGAAAAAAAAATAACAATTGGAACTGTAATGACCTTGAACATTTGTTCAAACGTTAAAAAAAAACAAAAAAACAATTGGAACTGTAGTGACCTGTTCAAATCCAACAATGTACGCTATGTCAAAAAACACAACAGGCCATTTGATGTAATTTGCCTTGTGGCTCAACAAAGGACCTTCTTAAAATTGACTGTTTGACCAGTTACATGTCCTGTTGACCTCTCAGTAAGGCAAGCTATTGACAGTATGTTTGCAAGAATAAAATGCGGGACAGTAGCCAGAAAGTTTGTGCTGATCGGAGAGTAATGAAACCAGAGTGGTGTCAAGGTAAACGGTTTGAAAGCAGATACTTGACTAACCTGCAATCTCACTGACCAAGTGAGACAGAGTTAATGTTACTACAGACGAGTGGAGCAGCACCCGATCTACGCCTCATCTGACTGTCCTACCCCTGTAGCTTACTTGCCCTGAAGAAGACCGGTGGGTTGAAACATTGGCTCCACATTCTAAATGCATCATGTAAGCTTTCAGTGTATGGTCATTTTTGACCACACTGTGTGGTCACGTGCTACCCCTGCATCATGTGATGATATCTTAGCTAAGCTCTCCTGATGCAGCACATAAATCATCCAGATCAGCAAGAGGTGGAAAAAATGACAGCCCTAATGTACCTTATGTATCAAAGATATAAATGAAAACCTTGCTATGAAATATTAAAAATGCATATTAAACTTTAAATTGCCCTACTATGCTGGTAGTATCCACGGATGACTACAGATGTTTTATCACCTTTGTTTGGTTTTATACTGACATGGCTTTTCAACTGTTTACTGTTAATGCTGTTTACTGCATTAGTATTGATGTTGACCTGTACTGGAAATACTATAGCCTCCACTTGTGTTTACCCCACTCTCGTTTCTAAATATATTATCACACAAAATGACCAAATTGTGATCACACTTCTTAGTTCAAGTTAGAAAAATATCAAACATGTTGGTTAAATCATCTCAAATGCAAAAATGTTATTTAAAACCTTTTTATATATACACATACATATATATATAATATATACATTTTCATATCATTTCAGGCTTGAGTTACTTGTGACAGACATGTCGTTTCTGACATCTTAAAAGCAGCATTGTTAAAAAATAAAAAAAAAGAGAGAAGTTAATGTTTGGTGTGTGTGTGTGTGTGTGTGTCACTAAATTCTGGAGGCAGGATGTAGATGCTACACTACTAACAACCCCAGTGAATCGGTAACTATACTATCACCAGCGCCAGTACAGGTTCTGTGTGGGTGTAGGAGTGAATGCTACAGGGTCAGGTGGGCACCCTCTCACTAACTGGTGTTTCACTGAGTTGGGCCCACGACACCGAGAAGGCTCAACAGCATGTTCCAGCATTCTAGAATGACATTGTCTCTGTTTTGACAGGTAAAGAGAACAACTGGCCTCCACTTCCTAAAATGTGCCCCATCAAACCATGTTTCTATCAGGACTTCTCTGAGGAAATTCCCCTCGAGTACCAGAGAGTCTGCAAGATGATGTATTATCTCTGGATGTGTAAGTACATCACATGTGGCTCTGAGCTGAAATGGAAGCAGAAATTCAAATAATATATGCATGTTTACCTTTGTATACAGAAAATGATACTTGGATCAAAATCCAAGATGTCTCATTGCACAACATCTTAAAACTGTGCTGTATGTCAGTACTTTGTTTTGCACCAACATATGTAGTGTTATTTGGGCTCTCCGTCTCCTAATGCCGGCTGATTTATAACATCATCTTCCTGTCTTTAGACAACCTTCAGTTTTAATACTCCTTTACATTGCATTATGGCTTTTAGGTGCTTGGTAACATACAGTAGAATGTTATTACATGTTGTGATATGTTAACCAGCCTTGTTGTAGTAGAGGTGTTTCTGTTTGCTGCATAAATAAAGATGATGCCGACATTATTAGTAGTGCTGATATGACTCTTGTCTCTCTCCACTGTTTCTTCAGTCAACTGTATGACACTGTTCCTCAACCTGCTGGCATGTCTGGCTTACTTCACCACTAGTACAGAATTTGGTGTGGACTTTGGTCTCTCTATTCTCGGTGAATATGGTGTGGACTTTGGTCTCTCTATTCTCTGGCTCATTCTGTTTGCTCCCTGCTCCTTCCTCTGTTGGTACCGGCCCGTCTACAAGGCCTTCAAGTGAGTCAGCTTTATTCTGCTATTACTTCACTAGTGGGTTAGTGAACATAAACAAATGTCAAAAATGGATAACAATTCCCATGTGATACAACATCATTTAACAGCACCACAAACTGCACCCTGCAAAATAACAGAAACTGAACATCATAACCATCACAAAGGGAGGAATTATTGCAGGACTGGTGTATTAGACTGTACTGTTTTTAGCTTAGTGTTCCTAATAAACTGGCAACAACGTTTCTGTAAACAGTAATAAACCCAATAAACATTACTGTTTGCTCAAAGACTTCACCTGACACATACAACATATGCTGCATGCATAAAATGATAAAATTATCACTTTTATTTTGAAATCGCCTACGTTCCTTTGAAAATATTTTGAGTAAAGTGCATGATATGTTTGTTTTCTCATTTTTAGGACTGACAGTTCCTTCAGCTTCTTCTTCTTCTTCTTTGTGTTTTTCTGCCAAGTGGTGATCTTCGTCATCCAGTCTGTAGGCATCCCCAAATGGGGGAACAGGTGGGTCACACACTGCATGCTTAGTATTAACATTTGGAGAGTTTATAAAATGAAGTTTAAACAGTTTGTGTTGTGTTCCCAGGGATCAGTGAGGGTCTCAAAAACGTGTGGGTGATATGTGTATGGCACGTTTAACATGAGCCCTGGGGTTAAGCAGCAGGATGAAAAAGGCCAATATGTTTTGATACATCTCACTCAGCAAATGGAAAATGTCCAAATCCCAGCCCCTTCAGGGAAACTGATGTGATTTATGATTCTGGGCTGTACAAGTAAAATTTGACTTGTAGACTTGGCCAGGAAATGTGCTGTTCTCGTTCAAAAACATACGTAGGATTCTACACTCATCTCACTACAAACAATGAACACTGAGTTAGAATGGAATATAAAACTAAACTGTGTTTGCATCCATACTGCTGCCTTTTAATTGAGCGATGAATTATCTGAACAGGACAAATTCATTGGATTTGCTAGCGATTTCTTCCTGACTCATTCTCAGAAATCCTCTATTTACTTGCAGTTCTTTGCCTTTCTTATCTGAATTACTACCAGTCAGCTGTCCTATAAACTCCTGGCCTCTCTTTTTCCTCCTTTTCTGCATTCGCCCATCTCTTCTGAAACAGACTTTCCACCCTTCAGCCTCTTTGTCGCTGGTAATTCTGTGCCTGCTGCTCACTGTCTCTGCTATGCCCTGCCAGCACTCTCTCTGTCTTGTTGTCCCTTTATTGGTCCTCCAAAGTATTTCTGTTCCAAAAACAAACCAGTTGGAGTCAGATTATCACTTCAGAGGTCAGTTTTAAAAGTAGAAGTTGACTTAGCCTTTCCCTCAGGCTGTGGGACCCAAAAGGAACACGGAGAATGTAGAAATAAACAAATGTTGAAATAAATAAATATGGGGGAAAGTATAGAAATAAATAAATGTAAAAGTTTTGTCCATTTTAAAATGTATTTATTTTTAATTATTCACAGTCATGCATTTATTTCTTGAGCCTTCATAAGCCTTTGCCTCAGGCTTCTGGACAGTTTGAAATGTATGTTAGAGAATGCATTCATGATGTAATAACAGCACTTTTTATTATCTTTGTTATGTTATGTTTAATATTTTGGTTTAACTCGTGTCGTTTGTAAGATCACCTAAAACCTAACATTGTTTGTTGACTCCAGTGGTTGGATCACTGCCATCGAGGTCATCTCTGTCAACAAGGCAGTGGGAGCCATCATGATGATAGTGGCCATCCTCTTCACCATCTGCGCTGTGCTGTCCATCATCCTGCTCAAGATGGTAAGAGTTTACTCTCTTTTCCTAATATTTTCACTGCTAATTTGTGGGTTAGCAGCTGTGGATTACTTTGGATCACTCTGAATAAGGATTAGTTTTACTTGTGAGTGGGAATGTTTCGTTTTAATTAATACATAAATTGGGATTATAACACGTAAATTTGCCTTTGCTTTTGAATCTTGGACGGACTTTGGTGTAGCGAGTTTGACCAAAATGGATTAAGTATGACACAATTACATAATTGATCAGTGTGACCCAAGGCAGCCATTTGATCAGAGATTCTTCCTCCTCAGGTTCACAGCATGTACCGCCGGACTGGGGCTAGTTTCCAGAAGGCCCAACAGGAATTCTCACATGGCGTCTTCACCAGTAAAACCTTCCAAACAGCTGCCACTGGTGCAGCATCCTCCGCTGCCCAGGGATCCTTCCAAAGAAACAATTAAGAGTAGAGTGAGTTAAGCTAAGCTCCATTTAACAGGCCAGGGTCTATATGTTATCAGGTCAAGATGATAAATGCTGAATCCATGAGGAGGTTTAAGTTCACTGAGACCTAAACCAAAAGTAACAGTGACTCCTCCTGGAAGTTATTGGTACTCTGGGACCCGGTGGCTGCTAAATTATAATCTAACCTTATAATATATAAACCTTGAGCTAGGTTAGGCTACATTATTAGCCTCCCTCCTTTTGCCCTCACCATCAGTGCACATATATCTCCCCTTGTTAACTTTTGAGAGGGAAGGCCCACACCAAGTGCACTTCGAGGTGGAAAGCATGAATGAACTTGACTGATTGCTGGCTTTGTATATTTTGTGCGCACTTTTTGGCAATGCTCTTCACAGTGTGTGTGTGTGTGTGTGTGTGTGTGTGTGTGTGTGTGTGTGTACTGGCATGCTGCTCACATAAATTCATTGTGTGTGTGTGTGTGTGTACTGGCATGCTGATCACATAAATTCATGTGGGTGCTGTACGCTGGTGTCTTTTCCACATGGATGGTGGATCCTGGTCCTGTACTATAAATAAGATGAAGTGTTTCTGTTTGTCATTGATTGTCTTTTTGTTTTCAGTCTTGAAAAACATTTCTCTTTGCTGTTGAATCCAGTTTGGAAAACCTTTTTGTTGTGTATCTCACAAATTTCAGTCTAACATGAAGAAAAGTTAACAGATAAATCATGTAGGTAATTGAAATCTGTCTGACTTCTGGATGTTGCTGTAACTGGACCCAAAATTTTGCTTTGACATTTTGGAAAAATGGAATCAGGAAATTGGTGGAAATGTTTTATAGTGAATCTACTCCTGGATTCATATAGTGCTTTCTGCCTAAAGATCACATCAGTGCAATTAATTGCATGCTTGAAAACAGCTAATTGAAATTAATTTAGATTAAAGAATACAATTTGACTTCACCTTAGGGCAGATTTTCTGGCTAAAGCATCAAACTGATATATTTTTGTATCATATTAATGGTGTTTTGAAGCAGCTTCAACTCCATTTTTGCTCCAGAGTTTTCTGTAGAAACTGAAGCAATACTAACTGTGAAAATTGAATTTTTTCCCAGTTAAATAAATTATCTCAAGTAGTTGACAATAGTTAATAGTGTTTGCTTTAATGTGCTTCAGTCTGAGGCCAATTTGTGGTGATTTCATAACTAACAGTAAATGCAGGAGGAGGGACGGTTTGTTTTTCATGTAGATTTTGAAGTGCAACAGCGTTTTCGACCGGGGTGAATCATTTTGACGTGATTGGAAAATTACTTAGTTTTCACTCATAATTCTTGGCGCTCCGATGAGGTTTGACAGTCACGGTTGTAACAGGAAAAATGGGACGTGAATCCCAGATTTCTTACTTTGTAGTTTCTACCAGAGCAGCGTGAATTTGCTGAACAATTACCTTCCTTTAAAAAGAGACAGTGTTTCAATGTCCACTAGTGCACAGCTAAGGTATTGAGTTCATTTCACTTTTTCACATAGATTATTTCATGTCAGAAGAATTTAAATTCTCATAAGTCTTCCATATACCTCTTTGTGTACCATCAAGCTCTAAATTATTTGTGCTGATGTATATTTTCTATGTAATTTCCACTACCAGAAAACATGCATATGTGTTTATTTGATGTACTGATGTAAAACATCAGCTTGGATATGATGTACGTCAGCATTCGTAAAGAAGATCATTTGTGTGATAAGGGTCGAACTTAAGGTTTGATCTTACATCTTTATATTATGAGAACAGAATTTGTGCCTTTCGCATTTCAACATTGAATATAGCATCTAATAAAATGCTTTGCTTTCATTTAAAGCTGTAATTGTCTTTTTTTAATCACAATTATAGTTTGCCTTAAGTTGATGAACCCTTATTTGACATTTTGCACTGTCAGTATACTTAATCGCCATTTAGTTAATGTTTCACCAATATTTTGTTCTTACAAACATTACTTAATTTAAAAGAAGGGTTGTTTCAGATCAATTTAATGTGACAGTATTGCAAAGGTAAGGGCACTTTTCTATTAAAGCGTGTCATGAAACTGGCCTAAATCTCATGCCTTTCTATGTGACAGGCTGCAGATTCTCCACAAGGGGGAGCTGCGTGGTCACAGTCAGATCAGATCTACACAGGTCAGCCTGCATCTGTGGGGGCAGATTAAGCATCTTGAAATACAACTGGTTGGAACTGGGATGAAGGCTCTGTTCGGAATAATGTAAGGAGAAATACATATCAGACTTCACTTCCTTCAGTTTGTACTCCCGGGCTTTGGGATCTAATGTTTAAATCATAGATGACATCATCTAGCAACCTGTGGTGAGTCAGGAGTCTCATTTCTGACCACTAGAGGGGAGCATGGAGCTCTGTGGAGTGAAGTGCTGACTCACTGTCAGAGACACGGCAATAAGAAAATATTTACAGTACGTTGTACTGTGTGTTGTTGCTGTTTATTATCTTTTCTTGTTTGACTGTGCAGACACGGTTGGAGCACTAATTATACTCAAGTTATATCAGTTTTGTTTATTGCACAATAAACTGATTCCAAATAACGTTTTATAAGATGAAAACCCTTAATTGGCACTATGTTCTTTGCACCAGATACACCAACAGAATACAGTACCTGAAAAATGGTACACTTCAGCATTAATGTAAACGGACAGATCTGAAAGTGTGTGTGCTCCCACTGTGTATGTTATTAGTAAAATAAAGGTTCAGGCTTGCAAATAAGATCCAGCAGAAGTTGGTGTGGACTTATTATCCCCACATGGTGGTGGTGACAGTTTATACTGTCGCTCTTTGCTGCACACTGAAGTGTGCCGAAGCAGGAGAAAAGCTGAATGAGAATGATATCTCTATGGAGACAGGAGACTGTTCTACATGTTCTGTCTTTATCAGTGTCTCCTGATGTGTGCATAAAAAGATGCTTGAGCTCTGAAGAAAATGTCCTTTAATTTTCTACGTGCTTCACATTCACTGCACGACTGACTGTGTTCACACATCATTTGAATCCTGAGAGTGATTGATGTCTACAGTACTTAGAAATCCTGCTAAGGCTATGTGTACAAACTAATTTAGATGTTGTGTGTATCACCTGAGATACAGTAAAATGCTGGAATTTGGGGGTTTGTTTTAATTTTTATAAAATTATTGTGTATAATTTAACATCAAATATATGACATAGGCAGTTGTGCAAGATGTACCCTAATAGTTTTATAAGTACTTTTATTTTTTATTTCCCTAATGCTCATTTATCTTTCTTTTTTTCCACATTCTTTTTCTCTTCTTGTTCCCTCAGTCTTATCTTGTTTACTCATTGCCTTATGGAAAAGCATTGTACATACACACTAGGGGCCACTTTACCGGAGTCAAATTCCTCATGTGTTCAACACACCTGGTCAGTAAAGCTGATTCTGATACAAACAAATTTACAACAAAAATAATAGAGTGGTGGTGCTTCATCAGTGTCGGCCTCCAGCTCTATATGCACTATTACCACCGGTTAATGTAGAATTCGGTATAGTGCCAAAATAGGTTTTGTGTGCATGATAAGACATGAGCTACTTCCTAACTCTTGGTGAATGTCACTGCACTTGTGTAAAATCCTTCACTACTGCACTGAAACCTTCACACAGCAAATTTATAGGTACACAGAGTTCAAACTGATGTAGTGTAATAAGAAAGCCCTGCAATAAATCCTCTTTCTAAAGATGATAATGTTCTGGTTTTGTTCTCATAGTTTTGGAGGATACTGTATATTTTCTGGTGCTGTTGAGTCCATTCATCCATCCATTTTCCTCCGCTTATCCGGAACCGGGTTGCGGGGGCAGCAGTCTAAGCAAAGATGCCCAGACTTCCCTTTCTTCAGACACTTCCAAAAAAAAAGACATAGTCCCTCCAGCGTGTCCTGGGTCTTCCCCGGGGCCTCCTCCTGGTGGGACATGCCCGGAACACCTCCCTAGGAAGGCGCCCAGGAGGCATCCGAAACAGATGCCCGAGCCACCTCAGCTGGCTCCTCTCGATGTGGAGGAGCAGCGGTTCTACTCTGAGCTCGTCCCGGGTGACCGAGCTCCTCACCCTATTTCTAAGGGTGTGCCCGGCCACCCTGAGGAGGAAGCTAATTTTGGCCGCCTGTATCCGGGATCTTGCCCTTTCGGTCATGACCCAAAGCTCATGACCATAGGTGAGAGTCAGAACATAG